GGGGTCGTTGTTTTGGTGGTTTTTTTTTGTAAATCGCTTATTTTTTAGTAAAATTATTTCAATGTATTAACTTGATATTTTGTTGCAGGAAGTTGGAAAGTGTGTGTCGCCATGCATATCCGCAGAGAATTGATACGAAACTGACGCTATCTACAGGACAAGTGGCAAGTATACAGAGTTAGCCAATCAGTGACGCCGCTCTAATATAGCAAAGAGTTTCAAATTTAAAAAATTCAGCAGGTAAACATACATTCACAATGGCTGTCAGTGACATATCCACTAAAAATCTAAAAAAAAAAAAAACACAAGGAATCACATATTTAAAAAAATGTGTTTATCGATGCAGAAAGAAAAAGTAGATATAAGCTTCAACATATAGCTATTTCATCCATTTTTTACCCATAAATATAAACTTTATTTATTTATCAAACTTATATATTCATCATTCTTGTTGGCCCGGATGTAAGCACGCAGTGGGTTTTATTGGGGGAGGAAGCCGGAGTACCCGGAGCAAACCCACGTGGTTGGGCAGGTGACCCCATTCCTTTTCACTTCCGATAGGGGAATCGAACCCCGGCAGCCTTGTTGAAAGGCAAGTGTGCTATCCAATGCACCATCCGACCACCCATTTTTTACCCATCAGTAGTACTAGGGTCGTAAGAATGTCAGAAACGTTCCATAACATAAAAAAGGGGTCAATAAAACGACGTGATTCATAAAAAAAAGCTGAACACAACTTTGATGATGTGTTATATTCAAAATTCAATGAAAGATGTACATGTACATGTACAGTCCTTCACAAATCGGCGTCCATGCAATGCAAGGAGGTGTATGTATCAACAGAAATAAAGAACAATTCAAGAAACGGTCCTGTTATCCACATTTACAATTTAATAAAATTACATGGAACCGAGCAAGATCGGATTATCTCAGTCGAGGGCCAAGATTCTGTGGGGACTCCAATAAAAAATGGCCTCTTCACTACTCAAGCTACATTTGAATACTTACGCGTAAAAATGTAGCCCGTTCTTACAAAGACAACGTATTTCACAGAATAGATTATAGTTTATCTACAACATCAGATATCCAAAAACATCAAAATAATACATATAACGAAAAAAAAAATTATGTCTAGTGCAGATTGTCAATTTCAAGCCGTTAACGCGTGGATGAAAACATCACAATATAGAAATTTCGCGAAATGTTACATAATGCGGCGTTCACACAGTGCCGATTATGGCTTCCGTTTGAGATCAGACAGCGTTACGACACGAAAAGCGAAAAAGTCGGATTACTATCCTCAATTATCTGGAATGTCCTATCATTGTCTGAACGCAGTCGTATACGTTCGTAACAGAGTCCTGCGGATCGGGAGGGTCCGGAGAGGTCGGCCAAGCACTCCCGACAGTTAGGTGCATCCCGTAACATTCGGGAAACTCAGCCGATTTTGTCTAGTCGGATTACAATCGTGACTATGTCGTGACAGATTCTGCTGTATCGGATCAAAATCGTAACAATATCCTGGATCTAAGATTTGGAGAAATTGCTCATTGCCGTTTCTAGCCGATAAAGTCCAGATTGCGTCCAGATCTTGCCGAATGCGTCGGTTCACTGTCCAGTCACTGTCTAATCTCTGTCGGATCGCGTACGGGAGAATCGGGACGCTGTCGGGACAGATTCCGTCGTTTTTTACCATGCGGAAGTTACAAATCGGATCAGATTCGGATTGAGAACGGGCGATTCGGGACGCATTTGGCTGGAAACGGCTGAATCGGGACGCTTCCTAAACAATATCTGATTGTTGTCGTGATTAAATAAACATTTTCACAAATTTGTGAATTTTCCGCCACGAATCACACGATCTTGATCCGACTTTTGATTTTTTTTTTAATCGGGAGTGGTCCTTTCAAGGACGGCAGTAACAATCCTGAACCAGACAGATCGGACGAGATAGAAAAATCTAGCATGGAGTATGCCTTTGGATATCTCTGTCTGAGGTGCGAGAATGTGTTATCACGTACATGCATCATGTACAGGTATCTTGAGATGGTGATCATCGTAATGTGTCAATGGTAAATTTAGTTGTCAACCATGAAGTTATGGTGGCCTATTAATGTAGTGAAATGATGTAGTTACAGCATGAAAAATTAAATTTTATATTATTTACAGTTTTTGCACAATAACTAACTCCATATATCTTTTTTTTTTAAATGGAGTTTGTTCAAAACTGTTGTTCAAAACTGAGAGCCCCCTATCTCACCCCCAAGGGGATGAAAGATTTTATTAATCCATAACGACTAACGCTGGTCTTGGTTGTAGGAAAAAGAGTCTAAGAGTCTATAAACCACCATGCGTTTGCGCAAAGGCACACACAAAGTTGTAGTCATTTACACATGTTAAGGTCATTGAAAGATGGTCACAGAAACACCGGCATGTCGGCTATGCTAGAATATATTACAGCTTTTACAATGAGTGTTGGATAGATTTAAAGCACCATTCAGTGGATAAGATTGTGAAATCACGGGAAAACACTTATATTACAGATAAACGATTGCATACAGCAAAACCAAAAGAAAAACTAGAAAAAAAGGAATAAAGATGTCTTTGGGAACAACATAATATTCATCACTGAGACACATAGCGTTGAGGTACTGAGACACATAGCAGCAGAAGTACTGAGACACATAGCGGCAGAAGTACTGAGACACATAGCACCAGAAGTAGTGAGACATATAGCGGCAGAAATACTGAGACACATAGCGGCAGAAGTACTGAGACACATAGCGCCAGAAGTAGTGAGACATATAGCGGCAGAAATACTGAGACCCATAGCGGCAGAAGTACTGAGACACATAGCAGCAGAAGTACTGAGACACATAGCGGCAGAGGTACTGAGACACATAGCGGCAGAGGTACTGAGACACATATCAGCAGAAGTACTGAGACACATAGCGGGAGAAATACTGAGACACATAGCGGCAGAGGTACTGAGACACATAGCGGCAGAGGTACTGAGACACATAGCAGCAGAAGTAATGAGACTCATAGCGGCAGAAGTACTGAGACACATAGCGGCAGAGGTACTGAGACACATAGCGGCAGAGGTACTGAGACACATAGCGGCAGAGGTACTGAGACACATATCAGCAGAAGTACTGAGACACATAGCAGCAGAAGTAATGAGACTCATAGCAGCAGAAGTACTGAGACACATAGCGGCAGAGGTACTGAGACACATAGCGGCAGAGGTACTGAGACACATAGCGGCAGAAGTACTGAGACACATAGCGGCAGAAATACTGAGACACATAGCGGCAGCAGGACTCAGACACATAGCGGCAGAGGGACTGAGACACATAGAGGCAGAGGTACTGAGACACATATCGGCAGAGGTACTGAGACACATATCGGCAGAGGTACTGAGACACATATCGGCAGAGGTACTGAGACACATAGAGGCAGAAGTACTGAGACACATAGCGGCAGAGGTACGGATTCCTGTCTACTGGGCTGCCGAAAACACATTGAACAGAGGATGTTTATATTCTTATTTACAAAAGATACATGATAACGTGATGTCAACTCAAGCCGAAGACGACAGGACCATATACCTTCATAAACAGATTGCAGTCAAGCTTCTTCAGAAAAGCTCTGTATGATTGACAGAGGAATAAATTAAAGCTCTAACATTTTATCCCATCTTGCTGAAATTGTATCTACGTAATAGATACGTAGGTTTATTGACGGGAAAGATCACGTGATGTCGAAGGACACATTTAACATTGAACGATCAATACCAGTCTCATCTACCTGGATTAATAGAGCCTCGGGTTAGACCAAAACAATCACCCCTCGAGTAGGAGATTTCTCTGTTACACCCTCAAGGTAGGGGATGATTAGTTTTCTCCCATCCTATTATTTCAGTCATAGCTCCACCGACAGTAGTCTGCCATGTTTGTTAACCAAAACACACGTGGGTGATGCATATCGTCATTCACTTTTGATGACGTCACAATTACCGATGACGCACTTTGACGACGTCACAATTGAACACGTGCTAATCGGCACGAGGCTATCTCCCCCTAGGGGGTGACTAATAGAATCATTCACCCCCTTTGGGGTGAGATAGGGGAATCTCAACCCGAGGGGTAAGATTCTTATGTTACCAAACACGAGGCTTTGCCGAGTGTTTGGCAACTTAAGAATCTTTCCCCGAGGGTTGAGATTCCCCTATCTTACCCACAAGGGGGTGAATGATTCTTTTTCTCTTACATGTACCCTGTTTTCCCCAATGTGTATCATATACACAATGTAATGATGACGTTACATGCTAAATTCAGGGTTCACGTGACGTTGATGGATTGTTGACGTGACGTCATTGTATTGTTGCAGTGACGTCATACCATTGTTATAAATAGGGGAATCCTCCCGTCTCAACCCTAGGGCGGAGACAGATAAATCTAGCACCGGCAAAATGGGAGATAAATCTGTCAGGTGTGGGAGAAAAGCTGATCTTTCCCGGCTAAAACGGGAGACACACCTGTGAAGGGTGAGAGAAAAGCTGATCCATTATATATATAATTGTACCAATTGAATATCGATCTAGCTGTTTTTGACTGGAACAAGCATTAGAAAAAAGACATATTTATTATTCTACAGAAATTGTCTGTGTGTGTGTGGAGCACAATATATAGTCGTCGGAGAGGCTAGACGGCATACGTTTTTAAGACCTACAAGTTCACAGTTGGTATTTGGAAGCATGTGCTACATATACTGTGAGTAGAAAATGATCCGTTAAGTTATCACCTGTTCTTCTTTGGCTTAGTAGCATCTAAGTGCGTATAGATTAGCAGTAGTAAGGGTTCGGCGGATTAATACATGCTTCAAATATGGCGCCGGACTACTTGTATATTCAATTCACGCTTCAGCGAGATAACAGATCGATGACACCAATTACTGGGTTCCTTCGACATATGGAAACACGGAACATATAAAACAACGGGATGCTAACGAACTTCTTCATCCATTTATGGATTTTCAAATGTCCTTAAGGTAGCGTACGGTGGCCATGGGTGATATTTGTGTACAAAGAATAACCCCTGTAATAGTACATATATCAAACGGTGTTTTTAAATCAGCACTAAAATTGGTGTATACATAATGCAGTGGACTATGTGGGCTTCATTAGTTTTTTAAGAAAAGAAAAAAAAATGATTTGAGACTACAGTTTTGCCCCTTTACAAATATGTGTCTACACAACAAAAGCTAGCTTTTCATGCATTCTTTTTTTATACTCACTCAGCACATGTGTAAAAATTGTGAAAAATCCATTTTGACGACCAATGCTAAAACGTGAGTATTTCTGTGACCGAGTAGATGATATATAATTTAAGGTAGGTTTTAAGAAACAAATTACGGTTTTCGGCGGTCAAATTTTGGGTTAAAATGTGTTTTTGGCATATTTTGGTGTTCTTTGATGTGGTAACTATGGTTTCCACGAGTCCCAAATCTGGCGGCGACCAGAGGGCTCAATTGATAGAGCGTTTATATAAGAGTTCGGAGGACTCTTGGTTCGGCTCCCGGTCTGGCTGTGCTTTTCTATTTTTTGTTACAGTTATATAGAAATAAAAAATGTTTATACTTTAGTGTGTTTCGGAATCACTTTATTTGGAAATAAAGTAACGGTTGTGCATGCGCGGGTTTTTTCCCTTATACAGTTTGAACTAGACTTTCGGTACATTTGTAGCTAGCTCTGTAGCACATCCTCGATATCGAGGGGTTACGCTCACTTTCGCTCTCTGCAACCCTGGAATATGTCTTAGCAAAATTGAAGGCACGCGGCTAGCTATTTGATTAGTGTTAGGTAAAAAAAAAATCACTAGATTGACACTTGAAGATTACAAAGGATGCTCACCCGACTTCAAAGCCTGTCAATTTTACCGTTGCGCGACCGCGAGATTCTGTTGATGTACATCAAAGGACCAAACAAGCTTTCTCGGCTCAACAACAAGGTTCTGCACACTGAGCCTTCTATTTTGCTAAGACATATTCCAGGAGTGTAGAGAGCGAAAGTGAGCGTAACCCCGTGATATCGAGGATGTCTGTAGCCTTGATTTGACAAAATTATTGATACTCTTAATGTCTTAGACCTCACCAACACAGAAATCACTGATCTCTGTTTTTATTTAAACTATTTATCTCTTGTTATAAAACGATTCAAATAGGTTTGAAATACTTCACACCGATAATAAAGAAGTATCAGATTTTTTTTATCTTACCGAACCGAATTTATGGTGCGCCTTTCTGGCATGCAAGATCGAGATAAAGGATTTATAGCAGTGAAAAACAAATTCTAACAAACTCATTTGTCTGGATCGCAGTCAAGCTTAGGTTAAGGTAGATATACATTCTCGTTTATTTATGGTGAAATGCAATTTATTTTGACACTGCTTAAATTAAAAAAAATGGTTTAGTGTGAAATATTTATTGTAGCCAAAAATTGAAGAAAAAAAATCACATTGTGGAGGGTTTCATTAATATCTTTCCCCTCCCGCTGTTTTCTACATATGATTCGAAACACCTTAGATATGCAATTTTCATTAACCCTTTCACCCCTAGGTAACTTTAGTAAACTCTTCCATGCATTGATCGGGATGAGTCTATTGTGGTCAACAGTGGTGAAAGGGTTAAGGATGTACGTCTGAGGTTTGAATCACGATCAATTCTCGTTTTGATCTAATGTCACGTGGGTTTGTTTTAATTAGACAAATTCTCAATTTTAAAAGCAAATATGCACCTAAAAATATGTCAAAAACTAGACGCCTATTGTTGGCACACCTGCTTGTTACAAATAAAAAAAAAAAAAATGGCAGCCATTTGAATATCCAAAAAAAATGTATTCTATGCAATGCTCAAAGGTGACAAAGGTGACCTAAGATCTATCTCTAAAAGTGTCATTGTTTCGACATTGTTGATTATTTAAAGTTGATTTTCGCTGTGCAAGTTTAAGATACAACAAACATAATGTGAAAGTGGAATTTATTGCTGATCAGAGGAGTACAACCTTAATACCCCTGTTGTGTTCTCAATGCACGAACTCTCCATATGGCACTATAATATGTTCACTTTGTTTGGCTATCTGCGAAAACAAAATTTTCAAATAGTTGGTTCCTCCTTTCTTATAGATATTATTCGACATTGTACATCTTATCTGCCATCTCCAATACACTTCGAGTCGACATTGTACATCGTATCTGCCATCTCCAATACACTTCGAGATGAGCGTGCACTTTAAAATAGCCAGATGTCGATTGTACAGAGCCAATAGGCGAAAAAAGGGGGAAATATTCACGTAACAGCTTCTTTTCAAATAATTAGTTAACACAATAAATTGTCCGGCATCATTGAATACAAAGCACACTAGATTTTACAAATTGTTCACAAACCTTATAGAACAGTGGAATAAAGAACAAAAGATTACCGAAATGACACCAAAACCGTATTTCGAATTCTAAATCAAAATAAAAAAAAATCGAATGCAAAAGAACAAGGAGAATAAGACCAGGTGTTCCAGAATGGTAAGCGTCCTCAACTTCATCGACGACACCCGTCATGTAGATTTAGGTCAAATCAAAACAATGCCACTTCCTCGAGTCCAGAACTCGTTTAGTTACAACGTTAACACAAGCCACTTTAATGAGCATATAATGAAAAATATCGACCCTCATATCACACAAAGAAAGGATATATTTCTACTCCACTTTTGGCAATGATTTTGCAAAGGTCTACGACCAGTAGCTCGTCTTTTCGCAGATGACATTTCTTAATTAAAGTGTCAAGTCATCATCGTCATGTCTTAACATTCAAATATGTTTAGATAGAGACATAGATTTTCCACATGTATGGTCTAAAACTTGATTGGTAACAAACAACTGATGAAATATCCATTTCATATTCAATCGGCACAGAGGAGATTTGCATATCGACAGGAAAGTACTACACTTTACTGATAATTGTATAACCTTTAACTTTTAAAGTTTGTGTGTGTTTGGGATAATGTCAGTGCTTCTTATACTTCTGTTATAAAAAAAATGCATGTCTTTCAAATTATGAAAAACTGAGTCGAGATACCTTGTTCATTGTACATTCAGTTCATCGACTGAATGTTACGCACTGTTGTCAGCCAATCAAAGTTTGCGTTACTTATATGCGGTTGTACAATTTGGGCCTCGGTAGCCAAGTGAAGGCGTCCGACATTCTGCTACCACTAGCCCACCACCGCTGGGTTGCGGGTTCGAGGCTTACTTGGGGCAGTCGCCAGGTACTGGCCATAGGTCGGTGTTTTTTCTCGGGGAACTCCGGCTTTCCTCCACAACCGAAACTCGGCACGTACTTTAATGACCCTAGCTGTTATAGGACGTGAAACACAAACAAAGTAAACCAAATGTGGTTGTACGTTTTATGTGTAACTTATGCAAT